TCAGTTCCTCTTTTAAAATCAGCCAAAATGTTTTCCATTGTAAATTCCTACGGTTTGTTTACAAGTTGCAAATGTGAGGATCTACCATTGAGGTTAAGCGAAAAAGAAATTATTTTGGTAACATTTTATCCAGATAATAAAGAATCTCGTAAAAGCCGGAAACATTTTTCAACAAATATATATATATTTCAAGGACTTTTTGTGTACAGACGTTCAAAAATTTAAAATAAATTGCAAAAATGCCAAAGATATAATTAATCAATTTTTCTCGAGAACTTGAAAAAGTGAAAAGAAAAGTAATTTTGTAACATCACACAATTCGTTCTATTAATCAGCTAAGGTGTTTTCCATCATAAATTCCTACGATTTCTCTTCGTATTTTCTTTGTATTCACATAAAGATAGAAAATCGAACTCGAAAATGATGAACTTTGCTCGAGAACTAGTTGCAAATGTGAGATCTACAATTGAAGTTCAGTGAAAAAGAAAAATTAGTTTGGAAACATTTTTAGAAACAAAAAAATTTACCACAAATTGTTAAGAGCGGCAGTTTTAGTGTTGATGAGAATTTCGACTTGATCAGTTCCTATATGTCAAATCCGTTTAGAAAGATTCTTTTTGCCAAAGAAAAGTGTTCATTGTGGTCCATTGCCTTCAGCGCTTGTCTATCGCAATATCGATGTGATAATCAGCGTATCACCCCTGGAACCAGGCATTGATAGTTATTACGTTAAATAACAAACAATATTAAGAGAACACGAGAGTCCAAAGCAGACTTATTTCATGTTGCTAAGCAACGTGGCAAATCGTAGTAACTGGATTGAACCCAAGAATATCAGTAGTTCGTCACGTTTTAAACCGTCGTATTTCATGTTGCTAAGCAACACGAAGAATCACATAACTGGTTGAATCCAGGAGTATCAGTAGTTTGTCAAGTTCGAAACCCGTCGTATTTCATGTTGCTAGGTAACACGACGAATCGTATAACTGGTTTGAATCCAGGCGTATCAGTAGTTCGTCAAGTGTCATGTCATCAATCTTGAAAATGACTGTTGTTGGTGACTGACGTTTCGACAGCCTGAGCTAAAGTCATCTTCAGAGTCGTGTGAAATGCTGTTTGTCAGATGATACTGTTCAGTCTCTGGTTATTGATCTGATTGGTCAGTTTTGTCGAAATGTGATTGGTTAGTAGTTGTCAAGTTTGTTTCGTCTATTACTGTTCCGTTGCAAGTCATTTTGTTGGTTTCTGATCGAGATCAAAGTTACTTCAGTCCATTGTTTGTCTATTTTGTTCGATCGATCAGTTCAATAGTGAGTCAAGAGTCGTTTATTGTAAGCAAGTAGTTGTTGACATCGGTTTACAATCGCCTGATCCAAGTTGGTGTAGCAGTTTTCAATGTAAGTGGCTGACAGTACTTAGTAATGTAGTCAATGCACTCATTCAGTACAGTCCCAGTCAATTCGTATCCACTTTGTAGACGGTGTTAAATAATGTGATTGTTGAATTCGCCCTTCCAAGTAGCTCGTTTGTGTTCTGTCCTGTCAGTCTCCAACACAACTGGGAGTAGACTATACTGTATGTCTGTCTGTCTGTTAGTCACGTTAGTCAGTACATGTCGTAAAGGGTTGTCAAGTGTCGTGTCAGGTAACAACTTTCGTAGTGTTCGTCCTGTGTTCTGATTGGGTAGTGACAATCGGTTTTTCCTCGGGTACCCTCACGAAGATTCCCCCTAAACGACACTCAGTTGTTCCCAGCCCCCGACGACACACCCCTTCAAAGTCTCGTGTTCTCTTAGCAACCATCACTAAAGTACGTTGACTACGCGACTTCTTTTAAGGTGGCACTGTAGGCATAAATTATTCTAAATCAATTGATTCAAGAACGAAAAAATGATATTATTCCTTTCTATTGTTTTTGCTTCATTTTTCTCAATTGTTAGTGTCTCATTTATCTCAATTATTTTTGTTTCATTTCTCTCAATTGGTTTTCTTTTTTGGATAAAGTAGTCAATTATTGGCTTCAGCTTATTGTGATATTTCTCGAACATTTTTTGCGAGTTCGACTCTTTGGATATATTTTGCTAATTTATAGCCACCATTTACTGCTGTTCCTATATTTCGTTTAATATTTATAAATTAAATTCTTAGCTTTGTACCATCCTCTTTCTTCGTCCCTGGACTCCATTTTCTTTCCATTTGCTACTCAGTTCTTCTCTCTACAAAAGATTGAACAAACAAATAAATTAGTTCATGATGCAACGGAAAAGTACGCAAACTATTGATTTACACGAGTTCTAGCTCACGCCCAATTTATACATCGCATTTCAGACGCATTTCAGTCGCGTCGAATGTAATGTAAGTCCCAGAAAAATCGCAGAAATCGTTTTAAATCAGCGCAATGCCAACCGAAATAGCAAAGTAGAACACGTTGCTTCCATGGTGTATTGCAACGTAATATAATACATTCGACGCGACTGAAATGCGACTTAATTGAGCCTAAAAATAATGAAATAGCTCGGGTGATGTTGTTTTACTACAGTAGTACAGAATAGACTCACCTTTGTTGTTTAATCCTTGAACAGTTTTCTTCTCAAGGTTTTCCACGTTCATGATATTTCACCCTGCAGAAATGAATAAGAAAACGTTTTTAGCACTTAGAAGCTTACTGAAACCACAAAGCGTGCAGTGTAATGCAAGCGATATTTGTAACACGTAAACGCCGTCCGAAGCTTCAACGAATTCAAGACAACTAAATTCTAAGGAACTATTCCAACGAAAACTAACACAAAATTGTTTTGCTTGCACGCGAAGAGTTGCTTGTTTGTATTATTTTGCAAGTTTGTAATAAGAAATTTGAAAGTAAGTTTGCTTAGCGATAGAAAAACGACGGAAACCCGCGCACGTGCTCAAATTTCAGTCAACGATAACGTTTTCATTTTCGACAAACACTTGAGCTAAATGATAAATATGTACAGTAAAACTCACCGTTTGACTTGAACGAGGTTGTTTCTCCAAAATCTTCAAAACCCCACGTCCTTCGAGGATATAAATTGTTCTTTAGTTATACGAAGCGTCTTCACGTCCTTACACGTCAACGAACTTCTCGGTTTGAGAAATTTTCATGAATATGGATTAAGAACTGGAGCCAATCGGCTTACAAGTTTAATTTGTCACATGTCGGAGAAAATATTGTTGTTATGGAAATTATTACAAAGAGGGTGAGAAATGTAATGCATGTGCGTCGAAGCAAAAAATAAATTTGGAAAACTATACAAAAAACTCATCAATTTTGGAACAATTAAACATAAACCACAAGTTGAAATACCTTAAACCGATAATAAGCGAGGCCGATTTTCGTTTAAAAGTCTTTTTTGATGGGCTTGTTTTCGGGGCATGGACACCGACAGGCGTTTATTATCCAGTTATCGAGGAAGGGGGAGGGGCTTAAAATGGTTGGGCTCATATACATAGGAAATCAAATATCTAGCCGCAATAGCGTTCGCAAACGATTGAAGGACTTCTGCCCTGATAACGTCACAGACAAGACTTAATAAGAAGTGTGCGTGCTTGGAATCTACGGAACCGGGGGGGGGGGGGGGGGTGGGGACTTCCAAGTGAAAGGGGCGGGGATGCTCGACGGAAATTAAAGACCAATCTGGGCGTGGCTCAAGCTTTATTTAATCCCTGAATATATCATTCTAAAACAGACAAACAAGAGCTATAGTTATTAGCCTCCTCTGCAGGCAACATTTGCGCTTTCTGTGGTTAGGAGAAGAGACTAGGAAGGAGGTAAAAAGACGAAGTGGGGTGGGGGAGAGGGGGAAAGAAAAAAGGCTTAACTCTTGTCTCCAGTCTTCCTCCTTTGTATCCCTCTTCCTATTTTCTACCACAGTAGCCTGCAGAGGAGGGTAAGCTATAGTGTCTTTAATGACAATAAAGACGTTGTCGTCGAATGCTTTCATGTGTCAATAGATTTTAAAAGCATTTTCCTAAATCTTTACTTTTTCATTCAGTCTCTTTCGTGCAACCCTAAGCGATACCTTGATGGCTAAAAATATTGGCGTTCCATCCTGAACACCCTAAGTGATACCAAAATCCGTAATTTACACCCCTAAACGAGACGACGAGCATCCCCGCCCCTTTCACATGGGAGTCCCCCCCACCCCCCGGGATACCGAACTTTGAAACACGATCAGTAGAGTCGCAAACTTGTTTCTACATTGTCATCTTTGCATACTTAACATGGCCGAACCTAAGAATAACTTTGTTGAAATGATTCAAGTAGTGAAAGTGCAACCTCGTTCCCAGGCTCTCTCTCCTTTTCCTCCCTTGTCGTTGAGGAGACGACAAAGCAGGAAAAGGAGAGAGAGCCTGGGAACGAGGTTGGTCAAAGTGCACAAAAACAACGGTAACTTTGAAGCGACGATATACCACAAGCCAAACGGAGGTGAGGCATTCTTGTTTACTCTATAAACCGGTAAAAATAAATCGTGCACTCTTGCGACTGTTTCTAAATTATATCATTTATTCGTAATAGAGATTCAAGTCCATGGAGGATTAATACTTCGCAGTAAACAGCGATAAAGTTATAACTGATCTAGGGGATATTATAAGGGTCTTCAAATCGTAACATCCTCAGGCGGTGTAGTGGAAGTCGAGCGCCATAACAGAAGTGGTTATTCGCCGATCATTTTTCTCCACGAGTCCTGGTGCCATTGAAATAAAAATGAGTTTACTTGTGAGTAAACTCATTTTCATGTTGAAAGGTTGTGCACCAGGACTCGTTTTGAAACAGAGGTAAAAGGCAACTCGGAAATGGCCTATTAAAAAATAACTGGCCTACCAGACAACCAAAAATATCAACCTCGTTCCCAGGGTCTCTCTTCTTCCCGCCAAACGCGATTGGCGGGAAGAAGAGAGACCCTGGGAACGAGGTTGCAAAAATATGAGAAAGATGTTTTATCAGTCAGTGACACAAGCTACTCGGAAAAAATTTCCAAGTTCTCACAACAGGAGTCGAACCTATGACCTTCCGCACACCGGTCGGACGCTCTACCACTGAGCTACAGGAGACTCGTGGGAGCTTAGGCCATATAACTATGTTCAAATGTGACAAACTTCCCGCATACTGCTAGGATGGTTACCAAAAATATGTTTTTTTTCTAACAAATGTTTTGGAAGACTAACTGTTTTCTTCAGTGTTTCTTTGTAGAACATTGTTCATGAACTGTTCCTGTAATAACTTTATAACTTCATGTCTTCCTTTTTGCTGACTTTTCTTTTGACTTTCCAATTTCACAGCATCTTGTAGTTGTCCAAGAGTGTCTTGATATTTTTCCTCCATTAACTGCAGTTTCTCTTCTTTGATGTTGTACTTAGCGATCTTCTCGCGGCCTGTCTTTTGGATCAGTTCCTTGAAATGGTGCACTTCATCGCTATGCAGAAGGGTGATGGCGGTTCCTAACAACAGAACAGAGCGATTTACAATTGAGTGTCGAAAGTAATCCGGAATTGCTTTGATTTTGCTTTATTACGCTCTGTGATTGGTTTAAAAAACTCGCGCCACCTTCTCAACCAATCAGATGCAAAACCAAAACCAAAACCTTGGTCGCACGCGTTTTCCCGCGCTTGGCGGCGGTCATGTGTATTTGCTTGGAGTTCTCATTGGTTCATTGTGTTGTTTACTTTTGTTGTGATTGCCCATTGTAATAAATTATTGCTTGGTTTTGGAGTTACGACACTCAATTGAAAACGACTCTTATCAGACTTATCAACGAAGTTATTCATTTCAGTTTCAAAACTAAAAATCTTCAACGAGTTTTGTGTCTTTCAAGTGCGGATTTTCGTAAAACAAAATTAAAAGCCATCGCATATAATTAGTTTATATTTCACCAGGCTACAAAATGTACTTATATGCAACAAAAAACAACTGCAGGAAAATGATTTTATTGATTATAGTCGTGCTGTATTCATCTGTAAATCTCGGCGCCATGTTGCAGACAAATGTATGGCAAACTAAAAATGCGATTAACGGTTTCCACATTAAACTCTATTTTTAGTTTTTTATTCAAAAATACAGTCGAAGCTCTCTGAGCGGACACTCTCGTAAGCGGACAGCTCTACTTACGGCCGCCTTGACAAAACCCCATTGAACTCTAGCTCATACAAACTTTATATTGCAGGTTTGATTCAAGAAAAAAAAACCCAGTTAATTCTACACAAAAGCAGAGTATTGCAGACCCAGCCTACCTTTGTTTCCCGCTCTAGCTGTCCTTCCCACGCGGTGAATATAGCTTCTGACGTAGTTAGGTACGTCATAACTGATGACGTATAACACATCCTGTATGTCCATTCCTCGTGCCATGGCATCAGAACAGATCAGAAGCTGCAGTTTGCCAAGTTTGAAGTCTCGTAAGATTCCTTTCCTCTGCTGAGGAGTCAAGTTTGAAGAATACTCTGCGGCTTGTACACCGCCATATAGCTTCACGAGTAGATATAACCTGCAAAAAATAGAAAACAATACAAGTAATAGGGATAGTTTACCCTCAGGGGAACTCCCATATAAAAATGACAGGGGGATTTGCTGTACCCATCTAACCTAACCATCTAACCTTGCGGTATATTCCCTTCTACTCTCTGATTAGATTGAATACCATAACTGCATACATTACAGTACCTGTGAGTAGCTTCTAGTGAAGACACGAAACACAAAACTCGCTGAAACTTCAGTTGTGTTAAACAGTACAACACCATCAGTGGCTTCTCGCCATTGTTACAAACTGTCATGTATTCTGACAATCCTTCTGGAATGCTGTATCGGCCAGCTGTTGTCACGTCTATGGAAGGGAGATGTTCATTTTCTAAGGCTTCTGATTACCATTATTATTAGTAAAAATAGTATTAGTATACAATACAAACGTGACAATCTGATCCTCTAAGCCACTCGTACATGTATACGATCATCCATTAGTATAAGAATGGCTGGAAGTCATCTACAAAATGGCGGTTTCTTCTCGTTTCTCCGAAGTTTTTGTATTTATTTCTGAGTCTCGTTTTATTATGATTTTTATTAAAACAATAAGTTAGTAGTAAATCTTTATTTAAGCAGGGTGGCCCATTCAGCTCTAGGCTGGTATCCATAGGGGCCCTGCATCTAAAAAATATATTATATTACAATTTAAGAAGATTAAAAAATTACTATACTAATTACAATAAGATAAAAAATACTATGATAAAAAATACAATACTTTATTATATACTATAAGAGGCTAAAAAATACGTCACTAAGACGTTATGATAAAAATTAATGTTTTGCTAGGCGGCAGAAAGTCTGTATAATTAGATTATTCACTTTCAATTTTCTATGAGGGATACTTGTTCGGCCTGTGGCCTCATCAACTATCACATCATAGAAATCTCAAGATCATAATCTAATTATAAGAAAAGAAAGAAACAAATCTAACAAAATGTTCTCACTGATAAAATAGCATGACACATCTCATACCTGCAGTATAATCTCCACCGTCATTAGTTTGATTGACACTTCCCGTCGCAGTGAACAGGATTGGTTGATACAGTTGCAAAGGAGCAAGTTTTTCTGGACTGTGAGTCATTGTTGCTGAGAACAACAGCTTTTGTAAGGGAAGCTGGATAGTAGCAAAACTTGCTGCAGTCTGCAGTCCAGGGGGATTCCTGATTGTTTGAAGGTTACAAGAGACTGGCCTGAAATTGAGGAGACAATATTTTTATGGGACTAATATTGGTTACAAAGGAGAACACAGGACGTTTTGCCCAGGATAGAACAGCCTGGATAAACTTTGTTGAGGACTAATGAGCCACAGAGGCATAGGAAGGATGAGTAAGTAATGGTGACAAAATAAAATTACAGTAGTTGAAGCTCTCTGAGCGGACACTCTCGTAAGCGGACAGCTCTACTTACAACCACCTTGACGAAGCCCTGTTTGAACTCTCATAGAAACTCTGTATTTACACATTCCCATAAGCGGTCAGCTCCAGTTGCGGACACTTTTTCTGCTTCCCGAGGGTGTCCACTTACAGGAGCTTCAACTGTACCTCAATGCAGGAGGAGGAGTCAGATGGCTAATCAGTGCCAGTGCTTAACTCCAGTTTCCATAGCATGAACTGGCTAGGAGTATTGCTACTCCCCTGGATGGGATGCTAGTCCATCACAGCATTTTGTCAGATTGCCCTAACAGTTTGCCGGTTCTCGTTTATATTCCTGTGGAGATGCAGTAGCATGATGGTTAGCGCATTGGACCAATTGAGCAGTCCGGGTTTGAGCGCTGGCCAGGGTCATTGTGTTGTGTTCTTGGGCAAGACATATTGTACACAATGCCTCTCTCCACCCAGGAGCATGAGAGTTACATGTATTCTAAGTGTCTTACCCAAGAACACAATGCAATGACCCCGGCCAGCGCTCGAACCCAGACCGCTTGATCCAGAGTCCAGTGCATTAACCATAAGGCTACTGCACCTGGTAATACAGTGGAACCCCGCCTTACGGCCACCCCGTTATTATGGCCAACTCTTTTTTGCCCGGTGAAAAAAACACTTAATCTCTTGTATAAAAACCCCTTTAATGTGGCCACCTCGTAATACGGCCAATGGCCAGATTTTGCGATCCCTGTGCACCTATTTTCTTTGTAATTTTACCCCGCATTACGGCCACAAACTCAACGATGTACTGGATTATTGCAAATCATTGGCACAGTGACTCCATATGAGCAGGTTTTCATAAGCAGGTTTTCATTTTTTTGACGAATTTGTGTCTGTTTTTGGATCTTCCTGTAAATTGATTCACGTTGTCTTTAGTGCTCGTTCAGTCGCTTTTGTTGTACATGTACATTTACAATGACCCCACAATGACCCCGTATTACGGCCACCCCGTTATTATGGCCACCCTGTTATTACAGCCAGCTTTTTTGGCCGTATAGGTGTCCGTATTAACGGGGTTCCACTGTTTAGGTGTACCTGTCACTGTTGATGAAACCACTTGTAGATTGCTTATTATAAGCAGCCTTGAGTACTTTGCCAAGCCATCCGTGATAAGACTGATCCAACAGTCGATCTGCCTCGTCAATCACAAGGAACCTCACGTGATGGAGAGTGAAATTTGGAGTTGATGAGATGTGATCAACTAACCGACCAGGAGTGCAGATGAGAATATCAACACGACTGCTACTGCCGCAAGAGCTGAAATAAGGCAAAATCACCTGTTATCACACATGTTACTTACTTTTTATGTCTAACTTCCAAAATATAACAGGTCTGTTGTATAATCATGTAAAGTAGAACCAAAGGACCTCAGAATTTGACCAAGTTCCATCGGCTTTTGAACAACCGGGCTCAGAAGTATCAATATTGGTACAAGCAAATTGAGCATTAACTAACAAAATGCCTGGAGATAACCTGGGATGAGAAAATGACTTTACCTCACTTTTCACTACATTCTGTCTGATCATGGCTTGTTATTGAGACTGGGGGTCTGAACTTCTCACTTCTTGTCCCCTTTAATCCTACTTCCTGCCCGGGGGCGAATCCAGGATTTTTTGATAGGGGGGGTCCCAGGGTTTTCCCGAAAATGTGAAGTAGATTGAAGGATAATTTTTGGAAGTAGATGTCAGCAGTAAAGGTGCAGAGGGGGTGTTTGGGGGCCTCCCCCAGAAAAAAAATTGAGATTTCAGGCTCTGAAAAGTGAATTTTGGTGGATCCTGGAGATGGTTTTGCTATGGATAATGGAGAAAGCAAAAAAACCCCAAGGTCTGATAGGGGGTCCGGACCCCCCTGACCCTCCCCCTGGATCCGCCACTGCGCTGCCCTCTGTTTTCCTGTCTCCTGTAGACTTCCCACCCCCTTACTTCCAGGTTCCGCCCCTCCCCCCCTGTTAGCTGATTGATAATAAAGAAGCAAAACATACCTAAGACTAACAAGCTGTTCCTGATCTTTCGCAAAAGATTTTGATCCAGATGCCAAACCCACCCTCAAGTTTGTTCCCTCGGTAAACAGCTCAAAAACCTGTTTGACCTGATTTGCTAGATCTTTAGTGGGAAGGA